TTTCGGCGGAGAGGTGAGTTTTGCTTTTCAATTGTACTGAAGTTTTGACTAGCTAGTAGCAATAACAATGAAAGGAATATTATACCCTTGTTTCTGTAGCTCTCCTTCATCCATGTTAACTATCTCCATCAGTCTAATAGGATATGTTCACTCTCAGTAATTGTTTCTTGATGATGTAAAGCTGTAAGCCTTTCTTTTCATGATTCATCATACTTACTTGTCATCTTAGCTCTGCAGGCATGCCCAACCTTTTGTGCACAAATGACTTCATCCTATTTGTTATGCCAGTGATACAAATTTGAATATATCTATCATCTTTTCCTTTTCATAACTGCGCCTCAAATTAATTTTTTCTTATGGTGACTCATATCATGTTTGATTATTTTCAATTGGTCTGTCTTTCAAGCTCCTTCAACTTGTTCTATGCGATGTGATGGTGCATCAGTTGTTGTTTTAGCATATGAGCACTGAACTAATTCTGTCATCACCTATTTGTCCCACTGCATGGCGTTTTAATTTCATCTGGGTTACTTACTCTCATCTTGTAACCTCTTTCTCTATCTTTTAAACTTCCATGAATTAAATGAATTGTTTGTTTCTGTTTCTGCTAACCTAGATTTTGGATGTTAAATAATTGCTATTATTATTTATGGAGTTTTTAGAACTTCTTTAATATGTCGCTGATTTAATAAGTTTCATTTGCCAGTGTACTTTTTCCTGGTGAAGTTGATTGATGAGTGTATTTGTTCAGGACATATCAAGATGCTTTCTTTGGACTCAGAGACATCATCAGACATGGCCACAAATTCGTACTGACATGTTCGCGAAGCCTATAGATCTCTTGATGCTTAACAGGCTAAAAGAGTCTTATTGTGAGATTAAAGTTAGTTCTTTTTACTTCTTTCTTATTTTGTCATGGATTATCCTATATGTAATTTATCTTCTATAATCTAACCTAGCTTCTTTTTGTGCTACATGGTTCATGCTAGTAGTACATGAATTACATGCATGCACGTATGGCTCCCTTGTAACAAGTAAAAGAAAATGTATGCCAGGCACCGTAGAGTTTGTTGTAGTGTTCCTCTTTAGCGTTTGGGATCCTAGTTAGTAGAGTATTTACCACATCATGCCATGGAAAACCATTCGAGTGGTATGTTATTTCTTAACTTACTCTGGGATGTGTTTAAATAATATTTGTTACATGAGAGAAGTGCATTCGCTTGGTAATTTTGATGGTCTTACGAAGAGATTAGGCATGTTGCAAAGAAATATCTCTCCTGCTGAGAAAAGTTAGATTATTTCAATTGCTTGGTAATTTACTGAACCAAGCAATTGAAGGGGATGCTAGAGTTATGATTGAGGAAGCCGTTGAAAATAATCTATCATAACCCAACCCCAACCCCCAGGAAACAATAACTTTCTTATTGAAAAACAAGAAAGGGATAAATAAGGGATGGAGCAAGGGCAAAACCAATTAATACAGAGCTCTCACCAGTCTAGATGGATAGCAATATTGTTTCTAGACAAGAGAACCCAAAGAGAGGAAAGATGAGTATCACACTATCATACTAGTGATGATTCTCCTAACCTAGGTTATTCCTTCAGTTGAGCTGGGTGTACAATGCCACCTAGATTTTTGTGTGGCCCCTCTAGACTCAAGTGGGGTTGAATGATAACTATGTATGTATAATATTTGTGTTCTGTTTAAATCTTGTGAAGACTTACCTACAGGACAACACACACATGTTATGGTCATAATCCATAATTTTGATCCAATGGGTGGTTTGCCATTGTATATGTTTGTTTTGTACCCTTTATTTTATTTTAAAATGAATTTTAATAATGAGTAATGAGCCAATCATATCCAAAGTACTCATTAAGATCTAGTATACATTGTGACATTTCAAAGTGCAAAAAGGAAAAAAAATAATTTCAGGTCACAGTGAATCATCTATAGAACATATGTCAGGCTAATCCTTTTAATTGAGTGCTTGTAAATACTATATGTTAATGATTGAATTGTATGGAGTGTCTAATATACATGGCCAAATAGTGTAGAATGTGTTTGGACAAGGGTTCTTTACCTTGGTTCTCAGGTTATACGTTTTCTAATTATTTAGTTTCCTTTATACAGGAGGGGGAACTTGATGCTGTTGGTATAGTTCATTCTTATGAAGATGGCTTGCCAGCTGGATCTCATAAGACAAGATTAACTGCTCTCAATGTGTGTCTTGTAATGTGAATTATAGTTGCTTTAGTCCTGAATCAATTTGTGGGCAAAATTTGAATCTTACTCTATCTTAAATAGGTCCCTCCAATGGGTTTGTTCTTCCCAATGCTTTTGGTTCCAGATTCATATCCTCCCCCACCCAGTGTTTGGTCAGTCCTGTTTCCCAAGTTAAACTTTTCTGCAACATGAAAATACCTGGGGATAAATCACTTTACCTTTATAAATATTGGATTGGTTACTTAAATAGGTTTCGTGACTATGAGGACATGCTGGAAGATACATGGCACATGGAATTCCCCAGAAGACCTGAAATGCCAGATGGCATGTATCCCAGCATGAACGTTGGGTATCCAATGTGGGATACCTACCCAGTTTTTGCAGCTAAACCAAAGAAAGAAGAGAAGGTTGGCCTTGCAGAAGCCATAACGAGTAGCATTCTTTCAACAGGTATGTTTCTGTTGTTTTGCCTAGTCTGTTTTTCTATCTGATACCTTGTTATGTTTTTGGTCAAATATCTGATACCTTAGTAACACTTGGTGGTTTGTTGACAGGACGTATAGACCTCCAAAGAAAATTGTTTTGCAGTATACAGTTGGTAAATTTGTCAACCAAGATAGACTATGAGTTTCTATATTTGCTTACTTTATATAGGAACGAAGAAATGACATATTTCATGTCTTAGGTTGGTGGAGTGGCTTTGACAAGAGGTCTTGTTCCTGCAGTGGAGGAAAGGTCGGTTCTTCTGTTTCTTTAAGCTAGCAAACCTACTTGTTTGACTATTATTTGTGATTATGATCTATGCTTACGATATTTATGTAAATTGTGCATCAAAGTTTGCAAATTTTATGACAAGGGAAAACCCACCAATCTGGACTTTGATTGTTTGGCTTGGAGTATTGTTAAGTTAAGATTTGTCGTCTATATTCATGAACTCATAGCTTAGGCAATTAAGCTTCATGTTTGCACTGTGCAAGTATGCCAGATGAGTAATAGTTGTTAGGTCAGGGGATCCCCGGTTCTGTTAGTTCATAGGGTCTCCATTCTTGGAAAAGTTTTTTACTCCCCCTCTTTACACTGACCCTACTGACCAATCATCTCATCACTACTTTCTGCAGAATTTCTAGTTTTCTAGTGCACTTTGATATAATTGCATGGTTATGAGAGCCTGATCTGCCCATGTGCTTATTTAATAAATGTTATCAAGTGGGATGGACCTTTCACTTAAGGGATTTAGACACCTTTATAATATTAAATTTGCATCCACCTTTTGCAGGGTTTTACATACTATTCCTTCAAATGAAGCGATTGATACTGTTGAGGTAAGTTTATCTGTTATTGTCTTGAAGGTTATTATAATCCTTTTTTACTTGGTTGCTCAAACTCGACCAGAGTCTTATGTTCCTATACGTTGTGGACATTATATTATCTCTTGTCATGCCTATTCTCATATGTGGACGTTATATTATGTTAAATAGGTCTTGCAACCAAGAGCAAATCCAATGTTTGTGTCCTGGAAAGGTGGAGCGGTAAGTAAAGCTCCCTCTACCTTTTTAGCATATAGTTGTATGCATCTTTTGTAGTCGGTTGACTGTTGGGAGGAGGTATAGTTGTATGCTCTTTGTTGGGTTTTTGTGTCTGATGATATCCACCAACATGTGTTTTGTGGGTTACACTTTTCGTAATGTTACCAACTTAGCACATATCTTGCTCACAACAGATTCTTGGAATTCTTGATTTTGGTCGGGATGCTTGGATACATCGTGATGACTGGATTCGCAATGGGATTCACATTGGAAGTGGAAGAAAGTACAAAGACTCTTATTTCCTTCAAGCGCAGGCAATGTGTTACATTAATTCTTGAAAGGTGAGATCAACTGCCTACTCTTATTTTTATTTACATGAACATAAAAGGAACCCCTTATTTCAAAGTTGTGTGGCCTTACAGAGGTGTCTACCTTTTTACTACTCTAAAAGCATGCAATTAACAATTGATTCTAGGCTTATTATAGGTTGTTTATTTAGGCTCTCTGAAAACATCAAATGACATTACTGATTTTACGTTTTCAGTTTTCAGTTTTCAGATATGACTGGCAGAGCGAACTGGGTGGAGTAAATTGTTGGTCTTCGTTTGTACAGGAGCTAAATGGTAGATACTTAGCTTAGCTACGCATTTCAGACTTTTTGCTTTTGATTGTAAAATATCAAATTCCTTTATCCGGCTTATTCAATTCGAGGAAAGTATCATGAAAATCTCCTTCAATTATGTGCCCAATTCTCTTCTTTATTGTACAAAATATTTTCTCGTCTAGATTCTTGGCACGAATGCTTGAGAACAGGGAGTATGTGACATTTTCAGTTTCTGGTTAAAAGAAACTTTCTCTTAGACATGTTTTACTCTTCTCGTTTTGGGAGGGTATCAGAGACATTTTTGTTGCATGGATCTCCTTCATCTCTCACTCTTGCTTTCTCTCTTCTATAAGTACAAGATTGTAAGAGAACAAGGATGACGGGAAAAAGAAAGAAAAAAGGGGGCGAGTTTATTTCTGACAATAGAGTAGAGATGTGAGTTGGAAATGAAACAATAGGCAACCGAGTCCCACATCGGCTGAAAAGAGGAGAAAAAAGGGAAGGAGGTCGTATAAATAGAAGCTGGTGGGTTAGGGTTTAAATTTAAAAGGGTCGGTTGGCTAAATATGCCACTCTCACCCTAGCTTGGTGAGTGCCGTATGGATATCAAGACATATGGCCGACATAATTTGTGGGACCCTATAGGGTTGGCTCACTTTGGCCGACCCTCCCATTTTAAGTCCAAACATTTACGCATTTTCTAAATGCAATGAACTTAAATAAATTAAAACCAAAAAAATAAAAACACACCGTTTTTATTTCACTTATTATATTCATCCATTGGATTAATTACCAGAATGATAATACCATGTTCTAGGCGTTCACTGACCTCAAACACTGAAATCATCATTTTCAATTTAAGCCCCTTTCAAATTATTTTCTTAAACGCTTGATCGAAACACACGAGGAATCAAAGCTTTGCCTTTGGAGTAGCAACCGCCACTCCAACAACGCCGCACAACTCCGGATACAAACTCTTCCTGATCTCCGCGTAAACGTCGCCGTTCCACTTCCTCTTCGCCAACTGCTCCCCCAGGCGCACCGCAGCCTCCACCGTGCTCTCCGCGCTATCGTGCGCCGATTCCACAATCCCAAGCTTGACAGCCTCGTCTCCCTTCAGCTTCATCCCCCTCAGCATCACGTCCCTCCTACCCGAAACCGACCCCATCTTCGCCAGAAACGCCGCCGTGAAGTAGTCTGGGAATGGCAGCCCCAAATCGACCTCGCTCATATACAGCACGCCTCTATCGCGCCTCATCAGGAAGTAGTCGTGGCTCAGAGCCAATAAGAATCTGGCTGGAGGGCGGCGACCATCTTGCTGAGACGGGCGAGTGCGGCGGAGGCGGAGCCGGCGGCTTGGGCCCAGCCGAGGTCGAAGCCATTGGAGAAGAACTTGCCGTGGGCGGTGGTGACCAGGACCGAGCCGCGAGTGGCTTGGGACTTGGCTTGGGAGAGAGCCGAGAGGAGCGAGTCGATGAGGGTTAGGCTGAGGCGGTGCTCGTCGTCGCCGGTTAGGGTTAGGAAGAAGAGATCACCGCGCTTCTCAAGAGTGCACATGGCTTTGCCGCGAGAAATTGGCTCTGAAGGCGAAGCGGAGGTGAGTTCTTGGGTCAACGTGTGCGTTTCTTGTTATCTTCTTTATGATGAATTTTTTAATTTTTTTAATTTGAAAGACTTTCGGTTGTGTGCCTGTGTTCGTCTGCGTATGATCTGTTTGTTTTTCTTCTTATCTTTATTAGGTGTGGACATGGAGAACGGAAAATTGGATGGAAAAATTCAGAAAAAAAACTCTGTTGATTAAAAACTCAACAAACCGACTAAGTATTTTTAAAATAAAATATTATATCAGTTCAATGCTAAATTTCTAATCACATAACTAATATTTGTCCAAGCTTGACTTCAAAACACCTTCCTTTTTTATGCATTATCATCTCTTTTTGCAAGTAATCGGATCATTTGTGAATTTTTAAGCTAAAAATAATAATATTTTAGTTGAAATTTGTAAAGAAAAATAATTTAAAATATATATTTACAAAAATTCAGTCTAAATTCGGAAAAATCATTGGAACCGATTTAAACTAGATTGGTTGGTTTCATAATTTTTTCACCAAAATCGAACTGAACTGCATTGATTGAATAGTATCAATTCCAGTTTCGGTGTAAGCTGAAAACCAGATTGAAAAAGACCACGCCCACCTCTAATCTTTATTATATATATATAATTGAAAGACTTTATGATCGGTCACGCACCTTTTTTTTTTATAAAAAAAATTTCTATGATTGCATTGCATTCTGTTGAGGCGTAAAAAATTCATGGTTTGGCCCGAATAAATTTCTGGCCCAGTACGACACTTAACTTGGGAAGAAACCCAATTTGGGTACGCAAGAGTTCATCATATACGCTTGCACACGTGTCATGCCAAGCAAATAAGCAACACGTCACGCTACAAGCTTAACTTGTTCCAAGCTACGTGAATGTCTGGGGCTTACTAAGCGGGTTGTAGTATGAATGGTTACGAGTTTTCATTAGGCTCATTGATGAGCCGAGAAATGGAAGTTTTGGGCTGCTTGGGAGCTCCGAAACTCAAGCTCATTTCTTGAGCTCAAATATGTGAGTAAACATAAAGGAGAGAAAATAGCTCATTACCTTAGAAAATATAGCCCATCACTTTGGGAAGTTGGCCCATCCCTTCAGTGAACTAGCCCATCACCTTAGAAAGATCCAAGCAACCAAGGAAAGTATCTGCAACTTCCAACACTTAACTGGAGATAAGACCACAACCAAAGAGCAAGCTTCCTTTCTTATTTCCAAAACCCAGCAATTTCGTGTTCAGCTCATCTTCCTCCTCCTTAGTTTTCTCTCTTGGCAGGTTGTTCTAACACTTGACAGAGCCTCTGTCAAGCTGCCGGAAAACACTCATTGCCCTCATCTCTCTCCCTTTATCTCTCCTCAACGAATCCTCTTAGAATCCCTTCTTCCATGCCTTAAAAACTCTGTTTCTCATAGGAAATCGCAATCATTTCTCTCTCTCTCATGCTAAACTCATGAATGCTCAGCTCATATGCCACAAGCTTCTCATGTCAAACCAATAATTTATCTGTAAGCTGTTGTTATTTTTGTTAGTGAAGGTAAGCAAGGTGTTTCATAAGGCTTTACTATCCTTTCGAATGGGCTTGATCTTTGAACTCAGACACAGGGGATAATTTCATCAATTTGCTCTTTAAGGCAGCCTAGCCCATTCGTAGCTCCCGGAAGAAAAAAAAACCCCTACACATTCATAATTCAACAAAAAAAGTCACTAACCACCAAAAGGTCAATACAAACTTGCCATAAGGGTTAATTACAATAATGAAGCAATCTAACATCAAAATTAAGACAATATGGGGCTCATCCACTAACAATCATTCATAATCGAAGAAACTCTTACATAGGCATTCCAACTAAGAGTACAAACTCATAACAAAGAGATAAAGCTTGAAAAAACCAAGCCATAGCAATACAAAGAAAACTTTCACATAAGATAGGTGGAAACCTCTCACAAATGAGAGGTGAAAAACTCTCACAAAATGATAGATGAAAACTACACAGAAAACCCAAAGAGTTTTTGCAACTTATTCCAAACATGAAGAAACCGCAAAAATGATGGTGATAGAGATTCAACACTAAAATGCATGTAGAGATTCAACACCAAGACTCATCCTCTTGTGATGAGTGGAAGAAAATCATAAAAAAAAAAAAAAAAAAAGACAAATAGGGAAACCTTTTGTCTTTGAAAATGGGGGAAGAGAAGAGAAGGGAGGAAGGGAGAAGGGGAGAAGGGAGGAAAAGAGGAGGGGAGAGGGAAGGAAGAACGGTGGCTTCCTTCCCCCTCAAAATGAAAATGGCTCTAGAGTGTTTTTTGAGAGATATGGGACTTGAGTTTTAGGATTACACACTTATTAATACAAACAAATCCATTTTTCCTACCCGTTTTTTGCTAAGGCTTATATGTGTTCTCAAAGGTACTGAATTTTAGTGCAAGAGACAAGACGAATATACTACCTTGATCAACTCGTTTAATCAACATTTATTCTTGTTTGATCAGATTAAATTTGTTAATCTTACAAAGAGGAAGATAATTTGAATTCAAACCCAAAATAATTAATTTCTAAAACTCAAAATGGCGTTATAGTGGGCGCTGTTGTTGGTTTTGACTAGTGGTGGTAATGGTTTGTGTCGTGTCAAGTAAGAAATGTGTCAAATTTCTTATTTTGATTTCGATTACGAATTAGTAAACACGCAATTACAAATTTATTTCATTTGATTACTCATGGTTATTTGAAAGCATTGTTTACCAATAAATTAGTTCCAATTCCAAACCTTCGGAATTGTCATTGTCAACCAACAGAACAGAAGATTGGACCCAAAAAAACCAACAGAACAGAAGATTGCTGTGCCTAATTTCAATTCAGTAGGGCGACAGCAAGAGATTATGTCCAATTCCAATCCTCCGACATCATTACCAACAGAACAGAAGATCGCTGGGCCTGGTTTCTTTTGTTTCTATCCCTGTTTGTGTCCAAAAATAGTAAATCTTAATTTTATTTTATTTGCCGGATATAAATCTTAATTTGACTCATTTAATTAATCGTGTCAAGTAGCTTATCCCCAACCCAACTTGTTTATAATTATTTTGTATTTGGATGTTTAAATTTTGAGCCAAGAATTTCAAAGTATGCTTCCAATACTATGAACTAAGCCTATCACTCTACATCAGTTATCAAATAAGAATAAATTTAATATATGAATACATACAAAACCATAAAAATAGTCTTATAATTGCACATCTTCACGTACAATACAATATATATTGATAAAGGAAAAAATAACTAATTTTCCTTATATAATACTTTTTTTTTATTGTCGAAAACTTATATAATACGGGAGCATTTTTGCTCACCATTTTAACTAAAGGTGTATGCTCACCACCACTTTTAAAGCTTGACATATGTCCAAATAGTTAACCTTAGTTAACTTTTTGTTGAAAATTAAAAATTAAAAATTAAAAGAGCCCAAAGGCTAGCACACATCCCCGATTATCTCCCCCTTTTTTCTCCTTCCCTTTTTTATATATAATTTCTTTCCTCCTCCAGCCCCGACTCCTCTCTTCTCCCTTTTCTCTCTCCTCTTCCCCCACTCTCTCCTGCTCTCACTCTTCGCCTGAATATTTCCATTCGGATTTCCAGAATCCGCATTTAATTTTTTCTTCTACATCATCAACTGTATTGCAACTTACATTTTTCTTTTTCTTTTCTTGTAATCATATTTAATTTTTCAGTTTAATAATTAATTACTATTAGTATCGTGGAACGAAATTGGAGACTCCATTATTATAGTGAAGCTTCTGTATTTTGTCTCCAGTTTGAAATCCATATGCATACATAATACATATTTAGTTTATTTATGTTGGTTCCTAATAAAAACAAGAAAATGGGAAGATTGTGTTTTTTTTAATGAACTAATTTGCATTTAAATTTTATTGATCAATCTAATCATACTAAGATCACAAAAAGCTTAACCTCAATAAGATCGACCATGCAAGACCCTGTAATCAAAATTTAAACTGAGGGAGAGAGAGATACAGAGTGAGAGGGAGAGAGAAGGGTTGGGGGAGGGGAGGAAATAAATTTTTTATTTTTTTTTAAAAAAGGGAAGAGAATCGGGCTATGGGCTCTTTTTCAATTTTTTTTTTTAATTTTCATATAAAAGTTAACTAAGGTTAACTATAGGACATGTGTCAAGCTTCAATAGTGGTGGTGAGCATACACTCTTAGTTAAAGTGGTGAGCAAAAATGCTCTCATATAATACTAGTTAAACATGTTTATCGTGTCAAAGTTGGGTCATTAAGCTTGGCACCAATACGACTCATTTATTAGTCATATTTAGTAGGTCGTTTTATATGTGTGTTAGTGTCAAGCAATTGTCAATAAAGCTCGCTAATTTCATATTTTTTTCGAAGTTATATTGTCATGTCGTGTCAAAAATTGTCACTACTGTTGTAGGAATTTGCCTTTTATTTATTTCTTTGCTTATACTTTAAAAAAAAAGAAAAAAAAGAAGTCAACAAAGTGATGAGAATTGATTACATGCTTCCTGTGATCGTGTGCACCATATTGTATTTATAAGGTCAACCGTCAATCCAATACTACCCAGCACCAACCAGGCAGCAAATCTTTTGAACCACAATTATTCCATCTGTGACATTCCAAACGACAACGTATCTCATTCATGGAAACAAGTGCAGTTTTTTTTTTTTTTTTTTTGGGGTCTGACAAGTGCAGTTTTTCCGCGGTAAAATCAACAATTTACTCACCCACTAACCATTCACTCGCCCTTTGGGCTTGGGCCTTTGGCGCCAAAATGTTGGCAATAAAGGGTAAATATCAGATAATAAAGGCCGCGAAAATTTGGAGAAGGTTAAAACTAAAAACTTTGTTTCGCGCCAAAACCAGTTCCATTATAAAATCAAAGGCGCAGAAAGCCTTCTTCATTTTCCCTCTCTCTTTTCTCGTTCTCCTCTTCCCCACAATCTCCGTTCCATTTCCTAAACCCTAGTTCCCATTTTTTCGTCTTCTACTTCTGTCCCGTGTCTATGATCGAAGACATGGACACCAGAAACGGCGCAGAGGAAGAGAAAGTCTCATCAGTTGAAATGCCCAAATTTGAAATTCCTACAGCGGTGATTGTTAAGCGAACCAATACTAGCACTGGGGCTCGTATTTCAGCCCCGATCAATCAAGAGGGCTCCAAGGCAGCAGATGAGACCGAAGCTCAGAGAATAGTGAAGGAAGAAGTTCCTGATAGTGAAGAGGGTTTGGTAACTTTGGCTCAACTGCCGGATCCTACTTCCACCCATATCAAGCAAGAGAGCTCCGAGAAGTCAGATATGGCTGAAACTCTTTCTGGGTTGAACCCTCCAAGCTTGGTTAAGACTGAGGTTCCTGATAGCCAGGAGGGTTTGATTCAGCAGGCAAAACCTGTTCCTATTCCGGTCAAGCAAGAGCCCTTTGTGGAGTCAGATGAGGCCAATCCTCTAAGCTTAGTACCGAGTCAAGTTCCTGATAGTCAAGAGGGTTTGGTCCTACGAGTGGAACCCATTACGACCCTGGTTAAGCTGGAGGCCTCTGAGGAGGCAGATGAAGCCGAAAAGCTTCACGGGTCTAAGCCTGAGCTCCCAGAAAAGAAGGAAGTTCCTGATCAGCAAGAGTGTCTGACCCCACAGGAAGAGAATGTCAAGAAAATCCGAGCAGTTGTGGGGTCTGAAATATCCGAAATTTTAATTCAACTAGTACTCTATCGATGCGGTGACAACCCAGATGCAGCCATCAATTACATCCTCGAAGGTCAGGGGATATCGGTTAAGCGGACAAATACGAGCCCAGGGGCTTGTATCTCAACCCAGTTGCCCGATTCGCATAAGGGATTGAAGCCTAATAGCCAGGTAAAGAAGGAAGATCCTGATTGTCAAGTAACTTTGGTTCAACAGACGAGGCCTAAAAATTTGGAGGATGGAGACTTCCCCACAGAGCAGGATTGGCTTTTGGTGGGAAGGACATTTGTCACTGCACTTTCTACTTCCAAAGGCAGGAAATTGTTTGATAATGAGATTGTTCATTTCTCTTTTCCTTCCGCAAACTCCAGCCACAAAACCAAATGGATTGTTCGTTTCTCAACCAAGCAATTTGGAGAGGTATGTCTGTGTTCTCAGATTGCATTTTTAGTATTTGCTTAAGTTGTCAGTTCTTTTTAACGAAATCGGTTATCTTGTTATATGTTTGAGTTAAATGCATTTGTTTATTTGGATAAAAGAATGACATGTTCTATATTGATGTATAGATTGGTCGGCTTCCCATGGAATGGGCAAAGTGTGTTATTCCGCTTGTAAATTCTGGTAAAGTTAAACTTCGTGGGCGTTGTATAGCTGCACCGAAAGTCCTTTCTATGATGCAAGAGGTCATATTGTATGTAAGGTATAAGTCTTATCCAGTTGTTTCAACAACATGCATTCCTTGGACAAATCCTACGTAGTTTTGTCAGTTCTTATTGAGTTTGATTGTTAAATGTTACAGTTTTTATATTCACCACTCAATTTTCACGGAGGGTGACCACTCGTCGTGGAGGCTAGATGTATCCCCCAATATTGTTTCTTCAATTTATCCTCTCCTCAGTCAGTTCAAATTGCTGAAAATTCAGCCATATAAGAAGGTACACCCTATTTCTCCTGTTGTGATATTAGCATTCTGCATGATGCAAATCGAGCCACTAGAAACTCTACTTTTTGTTTGTTTGTGCTGTATTGACACATGTTTGTTTTTTTTTGCTTCATCCAGGCTGAATTCACCCCAGAAGAACTTGATTCCCGAAAACGCCTTTTGAATATTGAAGTATGGTTTTCAAATTTTTTTTTTTCATTTGCATTTATCTCAATTGCTTAAATATTGAAAGTTTTGTTGATTATCTTTGAGGTGGTTTGCCAATTCTCCATTTATTGCACATGATCTTTTTCATGTACGGTGATTACTAAATGCTATTGGGAGTCTGGAGACCAACAAATAGTTGTACCAAGTGAAAGATTACATTGTGCTTTGAGTACTTTTATTATCTGAATTCATTATCTGAATGAGGTCTTTGAAACAATTCAATCCCTTGGTACAAGCAAATCCTAGAATTGGTTCGAATGCCATTGGTTCAGTGAGTGCGTTCAGTGGTGCTGTTTGAATTCAAATGATACTTCTTTGAGAAATACAATTAAATATTTCGATTTCCAAAATTTGTGTTTCAATACATATTTCATTGTTAGTGTGTGCTAGATGTAAACACATAGATTATCCTGGATATATCCCCTTAATAACATAGACATGCATGGTTCAAAACAGCGTATTCCAGACGACGGTGCTCCTGTGTTGCCCTTAGTGAAACGAAGAAAGGGTTGCCAACAGCCTTCAGAAGAAAGCAGAGATGAACAAGCCATTACAGAATCATCTCTAAATAAGATTGTTGGTGCAGCAGATGTTTATGACTTGGAGGTAGGCTCTTTTAATCCTTATATTGTTTGGAATTCATAGTAAATATGGTTTTGGATGTCATCAATATCCTCTTGTCTGACCTCTCTCTTTCTCTCTATCTTTTAGGAGATGGAACCCCCAAGTACTCTCACGTGTGTTCTGAAACCATACCAGAAACAAGCTCTCTACTGGATGTCTGAATTAGAGAAGGGAATTGATGTTGAGAAGGCAACACAAACTCTTCATCCTTGCTGGGCGGCCTATCATATGTGTGATGAGTATGTAATTTAAACAAATTGGAAATGGAAGGCAAACATGACCTTTATTTTTTTTAAATTGTCTGTCATAGCAAATGCTACAGCCATATAATCAGTTTAAATAGCTCTCAAGTTATAACGTAGTTAAACATGCTATCTGTCAGGAGGGTTTCTTCAGTCTATGTGAACATCTTCACGGGAGAGGCAACCACAAAATTTCCAACTGCAACACAGATGGCAAGAGGAGGAGTGAGTTTGTTTATCATCCTCCAGTCCATATTTGCTTTAATTTGTTCTAGCACGTTGTTCAGTTTCCTTTCTGTGCTTTGATTATTGTCATGTACAATCTCTAACTTGAAAGACTCTCTTTACAGATCCTAGCAGATGCAATGGGACTTGGGAAGACTGTGATGACAATTGCTCTAATACTTGCAAGACCAGGCAGAAGCTCTAATAGTATTGAAATTGCAAAGAGGAGGAGGATAGATTCAGATACAAGCACCCCATTTAAACCAAGGGGAGGCACTCTTGTTGTCTGTCCCATGTCTTTGTTAAGCCAGTGGAAGGTAAATCTTCTATTTTTGTATTGAACACTTTCTAAATGTATTTTAGTTTTAATTTTGAGGCATGAAATAAATGGTGCCAGAAAGGACAGAGTTTCACATCTCTAATTCATTTGCTCATACCTTGAATCAGAATTTGAATATACCACTATATTTCTCTACTTTGCAAGATATCCCATCAGTTCTTTTAATGTTCTCAGGATGAGCTTGAAACCCATTCAGAGTCGGAAAGCATTTCCATTTTTGTCCACTATGGTGGATACAGATCCACTGACCCCAAGGTGATATCAGTACAAGATGTAGTCTTGACAACATATGGTGTCTTGTCTACATCTTATAAAAGTGTAAGAAACCATTACCTTCAGTTTTAGGCAGCTTTTAGTATTTATAATTTGTTAATATATACTAAACCAAATCCATTCATCTTCTTCATCAAATTGATATTTTAATTATGATACAGGATGGGGAGAACAGCATTTTCCACCAGATCGACTGGTATAGGGTGGTGCTTGATGAAGCACATAGCATTAAATCTTCAAAGACCCAAGTTGCTCAGGCTGCTTTTGCCTTGTCCTCCCATTGTCGTTGGTGTTTGACAGGAACGCCTATTCAGGTATACCTTCTACTGTCATACTTGATAAATATGCAGATATGCATGCTAGAAATTGCAATGGCAGGGACAAATCATAAGTGAAGCATACTGTGCTCTTTCAACAGTACTTGCCTTTTCTTTTTGTCTAGTGCATTTTTACAGAACTTTAATCAGTTGTTTCTTATTGAGTTTAGGGGAGGTTATTCATTGCTTGTAACTTGTAACGTTATTTATGAAATCCATTGGTCATCAATTGCTGCAGAATAATTTGGAAGACCTCTACAGCCTCTTATGCTTCTTGCATGTTGAACCATGGTGCAACTGGGCATGGTATGACAACATGTTGCAATTGTTTGCTATTCTATTGCAGCTATCACAACTGTTACTTCAATCGGGGAATTAGTGGGCATGTTAGCTTATGGCATTACTAATATTGTTTTATCTATAACTAGGTGGAGTAAATTAATTCAACGACCTTATGAGAGTGGTGACCCTAGAGGGCTGAGATTGATAAAGGCTATTTTGAGGTCATTAATGTTAAGAAGAACAAAGGAGACAAAGGATAAAAAAGGAAGGTAATTATGCTTCTTGAGTTCCTTTGAACTCTCTCTCTCTCTCTCTCTCTCTCTCTCTCTCTCTCTCTCTCCTGCCTTTAAACTCTTTGAAGAATTTTAACATTTGATGCTTCTGATTCAGGCCCATACTTGTTCTCCCTCCAACTGACATTCAAACCATTGAGTGTGAGCAGTCAGAAGCTGAACGCTACTTTTATGATGCCCTTTTTAGGAGATCAAAAGTAAGTTTTCCGGTCACTAATTGTGGACCCAGCTGAAACTGTACTTGCAAACGTGCTTACCTTTTTGTTCACAGTTTGGTTATCTCTTAGTACTTCCTCATGCCTAGTTTTTATTCATAGTCTATTAATATTGAGTCTATCATACATTGATCTAACCATTTTTTTATGCAAAATGTACAGGTCCAGTTTGATCAGTTTGTGGCACAAGGCAAGGTTCTTCACAACTATGCAAATATCCTTGAGCTACTACTCCGATTGAGGCAGTGTTGCAACCACCCATATCTTGTGATGAGGTGGAAATGGGTTAACTACTACCAATGTTTTTTCCTTGTTCGTTATGTTGATTTGCTTCTAAGAATTTTTGTTTTGGATATATACAGTAGCGCTGATTCACAAAAGATAAAAAGTCGGAGTGATCCCCAAAAGTTTGCAGACTTGGACGACCTTGCTAGTAGATTCCTTGAAGCTAATCGTGATGCTTCCACTTCAAAGCAGATTGTCCCCACCCAAGCCTATGTTGAAGAGGTTGTTGAGAGTATACGTCGGGGTGAAAACAAAGAGTGTCCCATATGCTTGGAGCTTGCAGATGATCCTGTACTTACACCATGCGCGCATAAGATGTGCAGGGAGTGTCTTCTCTCAAGCTGGCAGACACCAGCTACTGGTCGATGTCCAATATGTCGGCAATGGCTCAAATACACTGACCTTATAGCCTGCCCATCAGAAAGCCGTTTCCAGGCTAATACTGAGGGAAATTGGACGGAATCTTCAAAGGTTTTAAAGCTCTTGGATTGCTTGGAACATATCCTTCGGTCAGATTCTGGTGCAAAGAGCATTGTTTTCAGTCAGTGGACTGCATTTTTGGATCTGTTGGAGACCCCTATGAAGAAAAGAGGAATTGGGTTTCTGAGGTTTGATGGAAAGCTGTCCCAGACACAGAGAGAAAGGGTATTGAACGAGTTCAATGAGACCAGGCAGAAAATGGTTAGCAGAAACAATCACATATTTTTCTCTTTGATGTTAATTTTTGCCAGTAATCTTTTTGTTGGTTAATATTCTGCATGCATTATGTTTCAGGTGTTGTTGACGTCTTTGAAAACTGGTGGTGTTGGTCTAAATTTAACTGCAGCATCTAATGTCTTTATAATGGTACTTTCTATCTTTGTATCTATCATTTGCATGTATTGGGTAAAATTAATCCTTTCCTCCCCGCTGATAATAAAAATGTTGTCTTCACCCTCTTTTAGGATCCATGGTGGAATCCAGCGGTTGAGGAGCAAGCAATAATGAGAATTCATCGCATTGGACAAAAGCGAACTGTTGTTGTTAGAAGATTTATTGTCAAGGTAACCCATCCACGGCATTTGAGCATGTTAAGGAACTTGGCTAATCTCATCCCCGCACGTCTCTTGTTTTTCATTCTGAATTCTCTACTTTGGTGATTGATTATGAAATGTGAATGATTGAGAAGCTGAAAAAAAAAAAAATTGATTGGTTTGCAGGACTCAGTGGAGGAACGCATGCAACAAGTTCAGGCCAGGAAGCAAAAGATGATTGCTGGAGCTCTCACTGATGAGGAAGTAAGATCTGCCAGAATTGAGGAGCTCAAAATGCTTTTCACATAGAGGCATTCATTATATGTATATGGTATTTAGGGGAGGAGAGAGTTGCATTTGGGGCTGCTTTTCTGTGTAGTTAGTCTAAAAAGAGGAGTCCCTAGTTTTTGTAAATCCAGGGCTCTCTTTATCTACTTTTTTGGGAAGTTGATTGTGTTTGTGTAGAAACTTGACCAATCAACAAGTTAATTAACTTATTTTCTTGTCCGATAAGCAAAAGAAAATAGGGTTTTGGAAAGAAAGATGGCAAGTTATGCGAATATTCTATAAATGACGTATATATCCCTGACCAGCAGATACTTGGTTTTGACTGGTTTGGCAGCATCTTTCTGTTGTTTTACAGCCTTGCACATGCAAAACACCGGTCCATACATCCTGTGGGCTAATCAAGGCTTAGAACTGGCCACGTAATTGGCATCTCAGCCGTTGGATTGAGATGAGTGGTACGTGGAGATGTGGGTTTGAACGTCGTCTTTTTCGATGACGTTACTAGTGGCTCCTACTCAAAATGGTCGGTGGTGGGCCCGGTTTAAAAAATTATAATTTGTAACGTACGCATTTTCATGAGTTATATGATGCCCTCTCAGTCACCGTTAACTTTCGGTTGGGGAGGTTGTTGGCTGGTCCTGGTCTGGTCATATACTATAGCTGGATGGAGCTGCCAATTGCTTTTCGGCTCAGCTTCGAATTAGAGAGAGAGATATATTTTATATATATTACTTTACACTTTCCTTTCCATTGTTAAAAGGTGAAGACATTTTTTCGTTGGTGAAAGTTTGAGAGAAATTTCACAATTCACATTTAACTTTTAAGCATTGAGATTCTTGTAATATTTTCAATTAGTTGACTGCTAATTCACTAATAACGTGTTTAAACTAGGGGTGTGAATTCCCTCTTTCAACTTCTTTTCCTTAATTCTTTTGTAATTAGCACGTTGGCAAAACCCTTGGTTTTTCTTTCGATTGAGTTGTGTAGACATGCCGCAATTATATCATGGTTAGGCCAAGATAAAATTAGATGAATTGTTTGTGTCTAGAATTTGACAAATTGTGTGGATTTGGAATTTGACAGATTGTGTAGTCAAGTGAAGAACCTCCTCTCAGTCTATTTTATAATTATTTTTTTCAGAACTTATATTCTTAAACTATATTATATGTAAGGCTTTATTGAGGGCTTTTGGATTTGGATTTGTTAGGATATCATGTACTTGTGCAATTTAACAATTAAAGGTGAAGGAAATAAAAGTGGAGAAAGTGACTGTATTGGAATTAAATTGCTGAAAGTATAGATGAAGTGAAATTGGAGTTTCACATTTCCCTAATTTTCACCTTATAGCCTTCTTAAATTTGAACAAAAATCACATTTTTCTCTCACTTTAAATTTTAAAAATCGAGAAAATCATGCCGAAAAGAGACACGAGTATTAAGTCATGTAACACTAAATTCGTGAATCCTAGTTTTTTGTTGAGTGAGGACTAAATTCGCGGTGTGTGGCAAATAAAGGAAGTTAATAAAAAAGTAATAAAATAAAATAAAGTTAAAAGGATGATTTACACTTTAAAAATCAGGGAAACAAAGGTGTGCGTGCGTGTTGTGATTAGCCAGCCCAACGCGAAACCGCCAAAGACGGGGTGTAAAATTGAGCCAAAGCCGTGTGCCAACCATACGTCCCCAAGCTCAGCAAGCCCCCACCCTTTCAATTTTTTGACCCTTTCGTCCTTTCTCTCTCCTCAAGCCCCCAAAACAAAACCCTCTCTCTCCTCGCTCTCTCCGCATATATAATTACACAATACCCCTCCACTCCTTCCTACTCTTCTATTTATCATCTGTTGCCAGACGCCAAACCAAATCCCTCACTCTCTCTCTCTCTCTCTCTCTCTCTCTCTGAGATCTCATCACCTCAAAATCAATGGCAGACGCACCCAGACCAAGCTCCTCCAGCAACCGCCGCCAGCCCAGCCGCCTCCAGCGGCGAGCCCCGCCCCCTTCTTCCTTACAAATAAATCGCGTCCCCGATTGGAACGTCGCTATCCCCCTCCTCTCTCCTCTCGTCTCCCCCGATTGCCCTATAGACACCACCAAATCCCGAGACCAGCACCAGCAGAAGGAGATGCCACGCCATCATCAGGGGGCGGAGGCTGAGAAATCGGCGCCGGCGATGGTGTTCAAGAAGTGGCAGCATCCGGCGGCGCCCTTCTGCTACGAGCCGGCTCCTTTTGTCTCGGCTTTTGTTCCGGTGTAGCCGGGAGCAGCAGATTCGATCCCGTTTGGGTTTAGGAAAATCCTGCATAAATTTTTAGTCTTTTTTTTTAAAATTATATATATAATTTAATTTGTAAAATAGTCTCTGTAGATCTCATCTAACGGTGTATGTGTGCTCATCGAGTTAATTTGTGATCAAACATGCACGTGATTTTGCCAATTGTAAAATTGCTAATTCCAATTTACAGTTCCATAGAATTCAATTTTTATTTTTATTTTTGGTTGATGAATGAAATGTGCAGTTCTTCTTCTGTCAAGTTTGGGTTTTGGAATTGGATGAAGATTGGTTGGGAAAACGAGATGCCATTTTCATGGTGGAAAACTGATTTGTTTAATGATTGGATCCAACGGTCATGATGTAGTCAAAGGGTTCCTTTTTCCAGCACCAGTTGCTCAGTTTCCACCGGAAGCATAAAGCAAATTAGTATATAATTAGAGCTACATATCCTAAAAGTTGTCCATGCTTGCTCATCGTATATTTAAATAACACAAACAAAACAAATTTTGTGACATCTTTTTCATGTCTTTTTGTTCATTTAAAAAAAATAGCCAAAGGTTTAGGCGACATTTTTGAATGGTATCTTGTAATCAACGGGACCAACACGATCATTAACAGTTGCATATGATAATTATTTGTTACTCGTAGACTCGAATTTCCTAAACTCGAATTTTGAACATGTGCAATTACTCGCAAAACACACGTATCAAGTAATTCTTGGAATGTTTTACATTCACGAGTTATGTGTTTAGTAACCAATTTGACCAACAGTTACAATCATCTACATCCCTTCTAAAATGTAACAAAAAAGGAATCTTGTTTATCGTGAGTTCACGGGTCACGAGTGATGACAAATCATTATAGTCATACGCGCATTCCTTCCAATATAACAAAAAAGAAGAAAGTCTTATTTGTTTTGAATTAGTACTACTAACGTACATGAATTAGTCTCCACAAATTTGAGTTATTTTGCAATAGCTTGAACTTGAATCCATTTTGATGTTTTCTTATATTGTTTGGTTCACCACTTTAGACCAAACCAAGTTTTGCCTTAAAGTAATAGATAAAATAATAAGAAAGAAATCATACCAAAAAAGAAAAAGAAGAAACTTCAAAGAACATTGGACTCATCGCGACATTATAATTCATCATAAAAACAAAAAAAACAAAAGAAAAAAAATTTTGATTATTGGAATGTAAGATAAGAACAATAATTTGGGTCAAATGATTTTTGCCTTATTAACAAAAGGGTTATTCAGTTTCTATTTATGCTTTTTCATAATCTTTTATTAATCAAAGTGTTCTTTAGCACCAAGGGTCTAACTCAATGGAAAATGACATTGACTTGCAAATAAGATGTCTTAAGTTCAAATTCTCATGACATATTAGTTGTGTGCGTGTGTGTGAAAAAACCTTCATTCTCCTCCCTTTCTATATAGGTTAGACTATCGCTTATAATCAAAAAAGTATTCTTCAGTTTCTTATTATAAAAACCATAAATAGGAACTGAGCGGTCATTTTCAACAATAAAGAAAAGCCAATAATTAAACGACTTTGTGTTTTTTTTTTTCTTTTTCTTTACTTCTTTTCCAGCCAAAATTTATTCCAAAGCACGTCACACATGAAGAAGCTATACAACAGGGGCCTATGTGTGAATTTCCAAAAATACATAGTCAAAAGGCAGAAAATATTCGAAGAGAGGGATTCTTTGGAGCAGATAATAACAGATAAATGGTCAAATATTCCAAGCTTTTGTTGTCTGATTTTCTTTGGATTTGTAAAATGAATGAGTGGAGCTGAGGTGTGTGACTGTGAGTGATGGTGGCCTTGGTCTTCCATTATTATCTTATCTGTTCAAATCAGATGACCAGATCAATTCATAACAACAACAACAGTTGGTTGATTTATATATCAAAAATAGAGAATAGTAAAACATTCAAAATATCAAAAAATATCGTGGTTAATGTAAACATTAAGAATTGAAATTATTAATTAAATGAGGATAATATGGTAAATTTACACTTTTTCATATTACCAAAAAAAATAAATGAAAGAAAAATCAGATAATGAATCCTATTTTATGGAACACAACTATCTATTATATTTTTTAATTTTAAAATAAAATAAATTTTTTCATTAAAAAAACCTCTCACAAACACGTAAGCGCGTGCAAAAAGACTAGTATTTTTATAAAATAAGTAATATTATTTTCTTTTATTTATAAATTGTAACTCAGTCTGGATGATGGACCAGCCTGTGGACTTATGCCTACACTCGACCCTTTAGCCCAATGAAGTCCAGTTGGGCCTTAATCTCCAACTCATGAATTTTGTTTGTTTGTTTATAAGAAGAACTCATGATGTTACAAGAAATCTCTTTTTCGATAGTAAAACACTACAAATCTTAATTCTAAGTGCATGTTGTTATGGAGAAGAACTTGTGTGGGGACTTCTTTGTCATGCAACAGATTGAGTGGCACATAAGTCTATAATCTGAATTATAAATCAAAACTTGTAATACATGTTATGTTTTAGTTGAACAATAAATGACGTACATCCGTCAATTTATTACGTGATGAGAGAATCTTTGTTCAAATTTCTCTTGTAGTTACCCGAAAAAGTGAGAGAAAAAGAGGAATACAGTCCAACATTTTCCAAAGTAGATGACCTTTTCAATGTTAAGAGCCTCTATTACCTTTCATCCTTTTTCACTTTGGGAGTTCAGCTTCTTGAAAAGTGAGAAGAGAAAGATCCCTTTGTCTTACTTTGGGTATTGAAAATGTCATACTCACGCTTATACACAGCATACCTTTTGAACAAAACAAAACAAATGCCAATATTGTCGAAGTTGCAAATAGACAGCACTATATGCTCTATGATCTCTGACTGTTTGGCAAATCTAGAAGGAAATCCAGGACTGCACAGTCGTTTGGACCTTAGAAACCATGCAAATACAAGAACCCACCACAAGTTACAAAGTAAACCAGAAAACCCACTTTTCCTTTCCACTATTCAAGTTTCCAAGTAAATTTTAATTTTGTATATGTACAAACAATCAAGTTAAAATCAAAATAAACTTCATGTCATAGGTTGTAGCCTTAAATTTATATAATTTATAAGAAAAATGCTAGGTTTATCACGTTTTTATACCACATTATGTATCACATCTCTAATAGAAGTGGACCTTATTGTATTGGTAGGCTCTACCTCTATTAGAGAAGTGATACACAATGTAATATAAAAATGTGATAAGCGTGGCATTACCCAATTTATAAAGTGCCTAATAATACTAATTATGAGATGAAATTAAAAAAAAAAAGAAAAAAAAGAAATGCCAGAGTGGTTTTGTGGAAGAATATCAATAAGATCAATGTCACAATCCGACAATCGGAAGGAGACAACAAAAACCTATTTGGCTGCTCTTTAATGTGTCACTGAATTGTCAGTTGGTCGAGGTCCTGCAAGGGTCTTTTTCCTTGTGAATTTTCTTTAATTATTATCATTTTCGGTGGATCATAATAATGTTCTTCTATTAACCTAGACCCTCTTACACAAGTTTCCATTTTTGGGGTATATTTCTTGGGCCTGCAGGATCAGATGACCAGTTGAGTGTCGCCCATAATGTTGGGCCGACCCAAACTAACATACTTGGCCCATGGCTAACCCAAAATTTCCCATATCACAAAGACTATTGGATGACATTTTCCCTTTTATTTTTATCCTAAGTTTTTGATCAAAAAATGTCAAATCCAAAACACCCATTATGTCAAAATTATGAAATTTGAGACTAAAGAAAACTTTACCCCAATGTGAATTAACCAAATTTCTTAAATTTGTTATCCATTCATAAACAAAATTAGCTTCACGATGAATATGCTTGAATTTTACTTACTTTATGAACACAAGAAGAAAATAAATGTCTCTCACTATAGTATAGAGTGTAACCTCCAAAAATTCAAATGCATCTAGTGATGCAATATTCAACAATCGATTTGAAGTCGTTAACATGCCAAAGAATACTTTAACCCAAAGTCAGGATTCTCTCTTTTGCATTGCTAATTTTTCACCAACTTTTTATCGTATCGTTTAAAGAGTATGACTAAATTTGAGTTGGATTAAATTTAGAGGCGAGACCATCAAATGAAGTTATGCCACGATCACCTTCGTTTTCTTCTTTTCAATAACTTAGACCTTGAGAAAGAAAAAAAAAATGAAAAAAAGGAGATGAGACAAGTAAGAGATGGGCTTGTGAAACAAGACAAGCATTAAAATGCTCAAAGATAAGAGCTTGATTGATTATTATTATTATTATGGAGTTGTTTACAGATCAATGATTTCAATAATCAAACCAATGGAGTCAATTGTCAAAAAGCCTAAAGAACCCAAAAAAAAAAAAAAAAGTGTCACTAATTGAACACCACCTCCTCCATGAAAGTGACATTTTATAATGTTTATAATATGTAAAGTCTAGACGTTTAAAACAAAAACCCAAGCAAAGGACATTAGTGTAGTGGTTTGGAGTATTTACTCCATTGGGTAAGGTTGGAGTATTTACTCCATTGGGCAAGGTTCTCGGTTTGAGTTATAGTATCTGTGTAGTGTGTGTGAATTTAGTATATTATCGCCCCTTTTAATAGGAAAGGTCCTAAAAAAAAATAAAAAAGAACCCAAAAAAGTGAGCTTGTGGGGGCAAAAGTAGAACAGCCTGCTCCTATAAGGATTCCCATCAACAAAGCCACTCCAAACACAAACTTACATGCAAATGGCGCGAAAGCTTTGATCATCTTTTTTTTTTGTTTCTTTTTGTTTGACGTTTCTTTTAGGCAAACCCCACCTTGATTGATTGCCACAGGCACATGGTAAAGCCAAGTGTTTGAAGCTAGCTAAATGTATTGCTCATATTTGCCGTGTCAAATTGGGAGAGCAAATTTGCAAATTGGGTTTTTGTGTGACTCATTCAAACCAAATTGATGTACAGAAATT